AGTAGGTTGGAGGCCATCGCTGGTAGGTTGGAGGCCATAGCTAGTAGAATCTCTTTGAATCCTTTCAATTGTTGAGATACCTCCAATCACTTCTTCCAAGCCTTTCTACTGAAAGGTATGAACATGTCTAGTCTGTCTGCTGTCAAAGGCTTATGATGTCAGGACATGGGATCCAACAAGTTGTCACTTCGCACCTTTTCAAGTGGCTTCATTGCAGCGTGTGGTCAACTTTAGTAACTTTATATATAGAGTAATATAGAGTGTCTTGTGAGTCTAACACTCCAGTTTCAAGCAACAGCAGAGACATTGACGCCAAGGGCTGTCTCCACTCTCCAGGGAATGATAGGGTCGGGCAGGCACTACTGTGACAGTTTCTAAGATACCTGATTCGCAGCAAACTACAACACTTTTCAAAGCACCAACCAATGATACCTCCTAGCTAAAGAAAGAACTGAAAAAAAAAGCTTCTTTTCCTCGGATCTTTTCATCGTCAAATCCATTCTCAAACATTGATGCAGGTTGCCGAGGTGCCTCGTCCAATTTTCGCTTCAGGTCAGCATGAATTGAACGGAGCTCCTCTCATCAGGCAGGGAGGCTCTTGATGTCAAAGGCCCTGTGGTGGAAGGAAAATCAGAGTATGTTAAATGGAAACTAGTACTTTTGTTCTGGAACGCAAAGTGGAGAATTGATGAGAACCATTCAACATGATTTGTGTAGCGTCTACTTATTCACAAACAGGACACATCGTATCTTGTTTCAGCAATGTGTACGTGGATACTTTAGATATCATTGTAAGCACTCATTTGGTTAAGTCTTGTACACGCAACATCCAACAATTGCATCTTTCTGACTTCCTCCTGAAGAAATGTCTAGGCGGCTTCCTTGTTTCAGTGTTTGGGGTATCACTGGGTGTCCACATCAACAGGTGTTCATGCATTTTGTCCATTAACAAGATTCCAAATCCCTCGTGCGATGCTGTTGAGCCATGGCGGCCATGGCCATTTTCGCACCACCGTCACACGAGTCTCCAAACTTCGCCCTCCTCCATTTCTTCAAAGTGGGCTCCCCTCTTTTCCGCCTCTGCATCCCTCAGGGCCTCACAGGACAAACATGGATAAGGGTTGCCTTGCCCAAGGGTTCAGAGATTGGAAGACACAACAAGGAACCAAACGAGGAATGACAACACGAGGGTTTTTGGCACGAACTCCCGTGCCTGGCTCCACTTAGGTCTTCCAAACGAACTCTTCGCGCATCTGAAACGCTGATAGGGCACCTTTTCCGCCTCGAAGAGGGGTACCTTCTGCTCCATTAACTCAGCCTGCAAAGGTGGATCCGCGAAGACTCAACTCGCCATCAGGCTTCGCAATCCTTCGATCCTTCTTTCACTTGAGGCCAGAGGGGGTGAACGAAAGCTAGCCGGGCTTCCGGTGGTCTGCTGCTGGTGCTGCTGCTGCTGGTGCTGCTGCTGCCGCTGCTGCGCTGGGCGCTGCTGCGCTGGGTGCTCTGCAGGCGCCGGGTCGTCTGCTGCTGCTGCTGCTGCTGGCGCTGGGTGGTCTGCTGCGGCTGCTGCTGCCGCGGCGTTGGGTATGCTGCTGCTGCTGCTGCTGCCGCCGCTGGGTGGTCTGCTGCTGCTGCTGGTGCTGCTGCTGCTGCTGCCGCTGCTGCGCTGGGCGCTGCAGATGCTTGGTGTGCTGCAGCTGCTTGGTGGTCCCGCTCACCGCGCGCAGGGGGGAGTCGAACCGCGGGGGGGGGGGGGGGGG